AGAAGAAGAAGAAGAAGAAGAAGAAGAAGAAGAAGAAGAAGAAGAAGCAAAAAACAGTTGGTGGAATTCCTCCAGCTAAAGGAAGCAGGGAAACGTCACGTTGCCTTGGCAACTAGGAACAGCCAGAAACAGACTTTCCCACACTGGTATGAACTTTTAGTAAATATTGGCGGGTTTCGGTTCTTTCACTAACCCATCAGGTCTGACAACACTGACTTGACAGGTTTGTTTGTTTGTTTGTTCTGCATATACTCTTGTTGAGTTGGTGCACCTACCTAAAACAACACTTAAAAGTCTGGATCTCCCAAATCATTGGATGATGGGGCAGATTTCAGTAAACAGTGGAACAATGTAGGTAACCTGTCATAACCATAACGCAAAAGAAGTCAGTCTTTTGAATATGCAGACCCTCCCCTAGTGTATGAGTTGCAATTGGAAAAGTGCACAGGCCCCTTATTTTATGATATACAAGGAAAAATGTAAGCTTCGTGAATGTTTAGATGAATGAGTCAGGAGGCACAGCTACCAAGACAAAAGCTGCAGGGGTTTGGTTTGGTTTGGTTTGGTTTGGTTTGGTTTGGTTTGGTTACATGTTTGGTTTTAGCTTATATTTAACCCTAATCTAGTGTGCCCGCTATGTAGTGGAATGTTTAGCTATGATATTCCCTAACTGGTTCAGTTAGCTAGCCTAGTAAGAAGTGAACTGCTTCAGTAAAGGACTCAACTTCGGTTTCCTTACAAATTAATAAGAATCCTTCTTGATTTCTGTTTGTGGCAACTACATAGTGACAAAGCTAAGGAGACACTTGGGATCAATGGATGAATATACTAAGCATACTTTTGAATGTATATGAGGATTAATAGGCAGGCACAGGAGTAACCAGGGCCAATGTAGGGAAAGAAACAATGTAGTAATTATGGTTCTACTGCCCTGAAGCAGGAAGATGAGTGGCCCCATCTCAGGATTATACCCACGGAGAGCAAGGGAGGAGGCACAGGTTCCAAGTATGTGGAGAGCAGACAGAGACTCTTTTTGGAAACCCAGATGATCACAGCCTCCTTTGTGCAAGGGTGGATCCAGAAACACAAATGAAACTGGGATGTTTAGAAGGCTGCATGGTTATGCTGGGCCCTAGAGTAGAGAAGGCTGCCAAAGACACTTCACTTCTCAGCCTAAGGAGTAGTTCTGAGGCCTACCCTTTGGCAAAGGAAATCCAGAGGGGCTTTTTGACCCTCCTCAGTATCAACAGAAGTGAATTCTGATGTGGCCAAGACCTGTTCTTGTTCTCAGAGGACAGAGTTTCTGCTTAGCTCCAGATTATATGTTATTAAATATGCAGCCAGGATATTGAATTGCAGCTTTCAAACAAGTAGAAAAAGAGAAGGATGAGAGCATAGAGGATTCCAAACAGCAGAGAAAGTGGGAAAAGGGGAATCATACATAATTGAAAACAGAATGGGAAGTAGAAATGAGTGCAAGTAAGTGGATTAAACATGGTGAAACTGTTATAGGAGAAAAATTTAGATGTAAGGAAACAAAAGGGTTAGTAAAGGAGGAAGTTTCTCACAGTGGCCAATTAAGCCTCAGAAAATTAGCATCAAATTGCCCAAGTTTTCTCAAAGCCACAGAGACTGTTGTAAAGATACAAAATGCATAAGCCATAAAGAAAAGGGATTACAATGTGGTAACTACTGCAGGAGCAGGAGAAAACTATCTTCAGATCAAAGACGACCTCTGCTATGGCTTCCTCACTTTTCACAGATAGTGTGAGTCTGGGGTACCTGAGGGTTCCAACCCCCAAAGAGATTAGAGGAGGACTCAAACCCAACCCTCAACTCTAGCCCTTCTAGTTTTACATTTATTATCCCCTTCTGCTGTCCTAGAATGTGAACCTAAAGCATTCTGAAGGAAAAGGCACACAATCTTATACTAAATACATGGCAATGTGAGATTTATTTTACACAAGTTTTGCAAATTTAGTACAAACCACAAAGGAATGCATTTGGATTCTCTTGTAAAACAAGAACAATGAGAAAACAGCACAGAAAGCTGCATTGTAGTGTATCTGTTTAAACTTCACTGGGTCTACATTTTGAGGACTTTTTTTCCAGTAGAAATTGCAAATATAAAGGACACTTTATTTATTCCTTCCTAGCCCATGTCTCATAAAATTTGACTTTTTGATATTTTCTAGCCATATAGGTAAAAGCTAGGTATCACAAGAAAACATGCCTGTAGTTAGTGTAAATGGAGAAATTTTTAAGTAGGAGCAACCTTTGTGGACTTCCTGTGCATGATGACTGGAGATTTGTATTGAATGAGCAACAAAAGTGCATGTTTGAGAGATCTGAGCTCCTTTGGAAAGTGTTGGCACCAGGTATCCAAACTTACCATGTAATGCTGCCAAAAAAATCTGCAGAACCGACATCCAAGTGCAACAACTCTGTCCACAATCGCTGCCTTGCAGGGAAGCCCAGGTCCCAGCTGAGCTGCCCACACTCCACATTTGGTATGTCATCCCAGCAGGGGTGCAGATGAGGTACATTTGAAAGGTTCAGACTACCTGAGCAGAGGGTGTCTGGACTTCATCGGGGACACAGCTCTTTGGTTACATATCAAGGGGATGGGAATCTGGCTAAAATTGGTAAGTAAGTAATAATACGTTTTGTTTTGTTTTGTTTTGTTTTGTTTTGTTTTGTTTTGTTTTGTTTTGTTTTGTTTGAGATAAGGTCTCGTGGAGGCTTGAACTACTCATCCTCTCTTCTGTCTCTCGGGTGCACCGTGCCTGATTATGCTCTGAATTACATTTTCATGGATTCTTTTCCTAGGTTTCTTCTACTGGCTCCAGGATTCTTGGTAAATGTTGTATATATTGTTATATATATAACAGTTGGCTTTGTTCTCTGCTCCTTGTGTAAGAAGTGTATGGGATGCTGAGTGTGGCTGAGGACAGGAACACAGCTAAGCACTTTCAGAGGGAAATGCTAGAACGGCAGGTATGTGAGTGGTTTGAGCATGTCCTGCCCTCAGGAGCTGGGCATGTGGTTAGAACAGAAGGTGTAGAGGAACACTCAAATTCTACCTCTTGCTATTCATTAATATCCACAGGATAAGCTATGCTTGGCAGAAATATGTAACATGGGACTGGGACAGTTTGATGGAATGAGGGAGACAGGTGCACAGGGGCAGACTGGGAAACCATCCTGACTTCAGGCTTTAGGGAACAGGAAGCTGGAGTGGAGGTATGAGCAGACCGCACATCTACAACAGCACATCTCCTGTAGTACCCTTTGAAAATCAACTGAGGGACAGAGAGAACACAAGTCTCTGGTTCTTACGGTTAGCATCTCAGTTCTAGAAAATCTTCAGTCATATCCCTGTCCCACGGTGAGTCCTCCTGGGAACCAGACAGCTCAAAAGCTACGCAGAAGACCTAGTCCTGCTCACTCAACCTGATTCTGGTAAGGGACAGGCATCTTCCAGGCAGGTTCTTCACTAAGCCAGTGGCTGAGCAGCGATACCCTGGAGCTATAGGTAAAGGAGAGAAAGTCTGTATTGAAGAGACTGCCTGCTAGAATTAGACACGAGCCTTTCCGTCAAGCTCCTGCCGTTCCTCAGAAGTGGCATCAGAGACGGAGGGAGGAAGACTGTACCAAACAGGCAAGCAGAGCACAGCAGGCTTTTCCTGTTCGGTGGATGCTGTGCTAATGGATAAAGGCTTCTGATCTAAGCCCTTCCTTGGAACACTCTCAATTGTACTACCAGCTATACATCATTTTGCTGGTGGTTAGTGGTGACTTTTCCTTTCTGATTTATACATGATATCCACATTTCCTATAATCAGAGTGCATTGCCTTTACAAATCAAAACAAATGCTGGATGTCTTCCTGTCCCTAAGTCTCCCTGGGCTAGGAACTGTTGCCTTACCTGGAAGTCCTGTAGACAACAGCCAGGGACAATGCCTCTTCATTACCCTTTGTGTTCTCTGGTTCCTGGCCTGGAAACTGTAGCCTCCACCATGTGATGTGCCCAGGGACACAGGTACATAAAATGTGCTCAGCGACCCACAGAAAACACCCTGGGACAGAATGTTTCCCTGACCACCACTATGCCAAGTATGGTATCAGATCCTGACTTGGAGCCTTAGCTCCTGCTGCATACAGGTTTAGCAAGCTTGGGCATTAGGGACGCACCACTTTGACAATCATTTGAGCGCTGCCCAGCATAGAATACTATTGGCTACTTCCTTAAACATTTTAATTTCTGAAAGAGAAACTGTCCATTTGAACAGACTGAGATTTATGCATGAGAGTCCCTTGGTGCTGTACTGCTCAGCTACATGTCTAAGTAAGTGCACACATGAGGCAGGGGATCTCGCCTTGCCCATTGAGTCCCGTAAAGAGTTTCACTAGAAGAATCCTTGATCACATTCCATCATCCAAGGACTAAGACTTCCAGCTGAGCAGCAGCTCTAGGGTAGGAAAATTCCATTGGAGCCTTTGGGTGGGATCACAGTTATAGAGGCACTCTTAGGGAACACCCTGGGCACAGCCACCTGACCAGGTACGGTCCAGGCTGGTGATTCCAGGGGCTCACGCTTAACAATAGGAGCTCTGCAGCCTTGGCCCAAAGGAGGGTGCTGGCTCTCACTGTGGCCCTGCATGAAGAGTTGAGGAGGAAGCTCTGGATCCAGGCAGGTGCAATGTGTAGGATAAAGAGGAGCCTGCTCCCTGCAGGATCCGACAGTATCCTTGCTGTGGGGATTAGCTCCCAGCATACCATGCCCAAGGTGTGGGGTACAGACCTGTTGCCTATAGTCAGGTTCTGTTTTCAGGTGCAACCTGGCTGGGAAACTGACCAGATGCCTCCTAGCCATGTCACTGGCTCCCAGCCACACCTGGCTAGTTGTGCTGGCATCAGCTATATCCTGGGATCCAGACTCACTTTCCCTCTTGATCGGCACTTCCAGTGACAATACTGGATTACATGGGGTTCCGATGGTCACTGGCAGGCTGGGCAATTTTGCATCCTCTGTCGAAAGGCCCCTGGCTGTGAAGCGCTGCGTTCCAGGCAGAGGGGTTCTCGATCCCAGGCTGCCCTGGGGGACATGACAAGGGGAAGGCTCCATCTGGCGCTGGTGGATCTCCTGCAAGGATCTGTTCATTTGGCTGCAGTAGGCACCAGTGGGATGGTCTGGTGAATCTCTGAAAGAAGCCACATTGCTGACCCCAAACATGCCCTGGCTCCCAGAGTAGGGCACACAGGAACCATAGGGTGCCAGACATGTGGAGGACTCATTCTTACTGGGCTGTCGAGTCAGCTTGGTAGGGTCCTCCTGACTTCGCTGTTCTATGTTCCAGTTCAGGTGCCTCAAGCGTACTGGTGTCTCCGAGCCATAACTGTACTTGTGCATCTCCCTCTGGCCCCGGGCACCAGGGGATCTCCTTAGTACATGCTTCTGGTCCTCTTCTTTGTCCCTTCAGAGAAAAGATAGCCATTGTACATAGCAACAGAAGTGATAGTCTCACTACCTTAGGGCCTCAGCCTCTCTATGAGAGGATGGCAACTTAGCACCACACTAATTAAATCCCAAGGGCAGCTTCAATTCCTCCCAAAACACACTGGCCTTTTTGTCAGTCAGGGACCAGTGAAGAGCCTTCCTTGCTCTATCTTCCTGTCCTTGCCCCCCAGTTTCCCAGGCAGCCCTTGCTCCAGGAAGGCATTTCTTGGCATGGGAGAGTGTCCTCCGTCAGCCATATGACCATGAGTAATATGATATTTTAGGGACTATCAAACTAAAAAGAACAATCCTGTGGTTGACCACAGGACACTGTGGCTTCAGGACTAGCACCTGTGTGATAAGAGATGAGGAGGGTGCTACTTAGTAGCCATCTTGGTGAAGATACCCTTGGTCAGGATGGGGTGAGAGGGTGGGCAGGTGGGAGAAGGACTGTGTCCTGAAAGGATTTCTGGAACAAACATACTCCTCCCTGAATGCTTGCTACCCAGGCTGAGAGGATGTCTACAGGCACGCAGGTGTCAGGGCTACAGCAACTATTTCTTCTCTGTGCCTACCCCATTCTATTCACTCTGATAGTCACAGTGATTTAATAGAGATTGGGACTGTGTAGTCTGTTACCACTTACCCTGAAGTCCCCTTGGGATCCAGGAGGTCAGAACCACCCCTGAGGCATAGACACGAAGGCCTGGCTAGAGCCTGGGCCCAGTAGCTCCTATCTGTTTGTCCCCTAAAGAGAGAAATGCCATTTTCTCCATTGCTCCTTCCTGTTAGAGTTTAGAGAGGAAAAGGATGTCACAATGAGGGCTAATGATGAGGTTTGTTCCCAGCAATGACCAGGACCAGAGTAACAGCAGTAGGCAGTTATCTTGGGCAGTGGTACTTCCCACTGGCCATGACATCTACAGGGAATATAGAGTTCTGTAGGCATGGGGAGCTCTTCAGGGACAAAAGCATCTTGCCATAGAGATGAGATGAGAAAATGAAGTTTTAGAAGTACCTGCTATGTAATTGGGTTTGGGATGCAATTCTGATTCACACAGACTTGTAACAGCTTTTGCCCTGTGAAGACCAGATAACAACATCAATGTATGGAAACAATATGACAATGAAAGAAATTAGCAAGACAAATATTACTGCTTGCTCAAGAGAAGATAGAAATTAACTTATACCTTTTAATAGTTATATTGCAGAGGGTTTTTTTTTTCTTGCTTAGCCTGTTTTCTTATAGAACTTTTGGGGTCCAATACAAAGCTAATGAATTACTTCAAGGGGTGTATGGCATTTAGAGATTGCACCTTCCTCCCCTCCAGAAAGTCAGAATAAAAGTAAGCTTGACTATTGTGATTCAAGGAAGTTGTGTTTCATACAATCATCATAACAATTAATTACTGATCATGAAGCCACTACCCTCAGGGTAAATATGGGAGCGTGAGTGTTGGGGGTGTGATGAGAGTTAGTATCAAGCACTTGGAAGCTGCTTTTATTAAGAACCAGAATCCTCACTGAGTCCACAAAAACTCTAAAAGCAGAATGAAAGTCTGGCATCTCTACCTTCACATTGCATCTGTGTTCTTTACTTTAGATCACCTACATAGTACATTAATTGTTCCTGGAGCATCTATCTAGGAACTAGGGCTACCTACCCTATTTGTCTTGTTTAGGGCTATTATTGCTGTGATGAAGTACATGACCAAAAGCAACTTGAGGAAGAAAGAGTTTATTTCACAATTCCATGTAACAGTTCATCATTAAAAGCAGTGAGGGCAGGACCTCAAGCAGGGCAGATAATTGGAGACAGGAGCTCATGCAGAGGCCATGGAGGAGTTCTGCTTACTGGGTTGCTCAATCATGGCTCGCTCAGCCTGTTTTCTTATAGAACTGGAGGGCCATCAGCTCCAGGGATAGCACCACCCATCAATCACTAAGGCCCTACAGTTGGATCGTATGGAGGCATTTTTCTCAGTTGAGGTTCCCTCCTTTTCCTATAACTCTTGTTTGTGGTTGACATAAAACTAGCCAGCACACTATTTCATTCATCGTCTTTAAGGCTTAAGGCACAAAGAATAATGGGAGAATCTTATTGTCAGCTCTTTACTGCATTCTATTTCATATTATTTTTTTTTCTTTTTCGTTTAGACAGGGTTTCTTCGTATAGCCTTGGCTGTCCTGAATTTGCTCTATAGACCATTTAGCTTTTAACTCATAGAGATCTGCCTGCTTCTGCCTTCCAAGTGCTGGGATGTGTGTGCTGCCGCCACCACCTGGCTCTGTTTCATGTTCTTAAAAGGGGACAAGATGCTTCTACTCCTTTCACAAACCTGCAGACACCTTGGATTCCAGCAATAGGGGAGCCTCATAAAACAGACTGTCCATGAGGGTGGGACTGAAGCTTGAAGAAGCAGTAAATATCTCCTGAAACCCAGTTTATCTCCTCAAGGAATAAGGATTTCTTCAGACCACTTTGCAGAACCAGAATGGAGACAATGGTTAACCAAATTACCATACCTTCCTTGACTAGAACTGCTTAACTAAGTATACCTCTTATCCCTACTCCTATTCTGCCTCTATTTAAGCCAAAATCTTATGTAAGTGCTCCAAATATGGGGCAGGACCCTTTCAAATGTTCCTGTCTCCAATGTACCACCGTCAATGTCTCCCTTCTCCATTTTTATTGTGAGTGGTCTCTTTAATAGATATATTTGGATGAGTGGCTGAGCCTGGTGTGCTAGCACTACTGGTGTTGTAGATTTTGCCCTTAAGTTCCATTTAGAATAATTTTGGGTCATCCTGATAGATTCATTTTGCTTTTTGAAGGAGAAATTTAGGTGACTTGCCTGACAATGCCCCTTTACTGGGTATCAGTGCTGGGCTTCAAACTCTGTCTGCTGGACTAACTCCAAAGTGTTCTTATTTCTGTGTGGCTTATTTCTTTGTACATGGGGTCTGTGAGTTGCTGAGACTGAGAGAGAGGGAAGCCTGGTCTCCTGGATCACTTCTCAGAATGTGTACTCTCTGAGAGTCATATCTTCCTACTGTGTATCTATGGACAATGGTTGATTTGAGGATTTTAAATAAAATTTAGCAGATAGGTGAAAGGACATAGCAGGCTGAAGAAATAAAGAGGAACAGCCTACACAATGTCCTCATTACAAAAGCTGTGAGAGACAGCAGCTGCTCCCAGAGCCAGCTCTCAGGGCCTGGCACCGCCATCTCTGCCCCTGCAGAGAATGAACTGTGGTGTGTTTGCTGATAGCCGTTCTGAATTCAACTCAAAGCAGAGGGGGCAGAGTCTGAACACAAGGTTCTCCATTAGAGTTCCAATATTTTGCACAGTATGAAACCTACTTCTAGAGATGCCATCTTCAGAAATCCTACAAATCCATCCAGGTGTCTCCTTGAAAGGGGGTGTCCCATGTACCCAATCTTGTGCCCATCATGCTTCCGAGACTGAGTGAAATGGTACCAGAAATTGCCTTCTCCTGCTTGGAATTCAAGGTTGCACTAGAGGTCACTCTACAGGCCCAGCTCTGAGCACAGCATTAGTGTTCCCAGAGCTCTGTGGTTAGAAAGCTGTAACCCTCTGGGATAACCATTTCCTCATCAGTCTTGTCCCCTCCTACAGTACAGTCTCCATGAGGGCGGTTAAATACCTTGTCGGGCCATTTCAGGAGAGGCAGTGCCCATTCTACTGGCATCCCCATTTTGACTTGAGGATATCATGCCCCAAGTGTCCCGGGTAAATGACTCTAATGAGCCCTCCTGATGCATGGACTATTCTGTGCTCTCCCTTGGATCACTAGCTGAAAAGGAAGGGATCCTGTTTGCTCTGCTACACCACAACCCCCTTCATCCTTTGTGGTGTCTCTGCTGCAGCCAAGACTGAGTGACCAATCTATTGCTTAGTCCTAGCTTATGGCCTCTCCAGTACTCTTCCAGCAACTAAGGCCGGAAGAGAGCTCACAATGACTCCATGAGAGGAGCACCATGGTTCGGATTAGGAATAGAGTCAGGGTTACAGCTGAAACTCCTGGTTCATTTTAAATAGATGGAGGGCCTATTTCAACTTTCACTGTTTATTACAGGCCTTGCTGTTCTGACTAATGCAGCCACAGCCTGGGATCTTGGTATGCTCTGGAGGGAGAAGATGGGCAGTTTGTTCTATTCACTGAATAACAATCGACTGGGAATTTGGGGTTTGTTTGTTTGACTACTACTATATAGTGAACACCAGAAAGTGTTGCCCACAATCTATGTGGAAAATCATTATGTGGCAGTTTCCTCTAAGATTAAAACCTTCCATCTCAGAGAGAAGCTCTTAAGGATGTAAAAGGAATATTTAATGACAGGATTTTTACAGGGAAGTAAAACAAGACGTTCTAAGGAAAGATAAACATTCCATCCTTCAGGGAAGATCATTAAGACAGGAAGTAAATAACTCAGAACATCTTCACGAAGTTCCTGAAACTGAATGGATTTACTAGGCATCTCTCATGAATATACGCACAGTTAAAAACTGCTAAGAATCTCACAAGCCAAGGTGCCCAGAAGACCCTCATACAAGGTGAGCTGCTTAGGAAAGGCTCAGACCAACTGAGCTATCAGGAAAGGTGACCTATGGGCTCAAGTGACCTATTGAGCTGCCTGAAGGCTGTGCAATGTTTCCAGATTTCCAGCTTTTGTGAGGTGTCACTCATGCTGAGGTGGGCATCAGCGCAGCTCTCTTTGAGTCACTTCTGCTCCTGTAAGTATCCTCTCACGCATAATGAAACCCATTGGTCCACCAAGCTGGACTGTGTGCTGTCCATACTTTGATCTGTCATCAGTTCACCATATCAAGCAAGGAGATATTTGTTCATGTCTCTCCAGGAATAGTGTCACACAACAAAAATCAAATTCAGAACTGAGGCATCACTGTGTCTCAATCTGTCTTCCCTCTGATCTCATACCCCCATGTCTCTACACCAGGTAGAAAATAACTTTATATGCATAGCATTTGAAATAACTCCTGTAAATGGCCCAGAAAACTGGGTGTGTTTTCTGCTCCTGAAAAACAAAGAAAATGCCACAGGACTGGCCAAATGAGGGCCTAGAAAGCTGGCACAGTCCACACTAACCTCAAATTTGACCACTAGATAGATCTTCCTGTGCTGTCCCCAACACCAATTAACTGCGGAGGAGGCAGGGCCCACAGAGGTGACAGGCCATTTTGGCCTCTCTGAGGGCCGAGCCTGGAGGGTAAGTGCAGCTCCAGAGCATGAAAGTGTGTGGTGCTGTAGTTCGCACCGATTTTAAAAAGCGGCTTTCCCCTAAGAGTTGTCGGGTACATTGTGTAATGCTTTTAAAAATACCGAACTTCATGTTTATTTTTTGGCTGGGAAAAAGATATTACAACATATAGAGCTTTTTGCTCTCATCATCCAATGTCACAATGTTAAAATCCATGCTCACCTTGAATCCATTGTAACCACAATGTCTGCCCTGTGCTTCGCCCTCAAGAAGGCACTTTTCATTTTCATTTCAGCCACAGAAGGCAGGACTGGCACCACAATGCAGAACAATGAGAGCCGGGGAGGCAGTACGGTTCCTGATGGTGCCTTCTTCTTCTGTCCAAATAGGAATTTTAGTTTTCCTTGGAACTGCATAGTCTGGTGTTTTAAAGACAGAAAAACATGCTGTTCACATAGCGGACTCAAGTATGTGAGGGTAATTTTGTAGCAATACCATCAAGCAAGTCTCATCCTAAAACGTTAGGAAACACCTGTATCATAGAAGCTTTGGTTTATGATATGTAAACATGTTTTTGTTTTAATCCCAGGTGTGGGATGTGGGACTGATTCAAGTTGTTCACAGCAGCAAACTATTTGCTATGCGGGCTCTGAGAGGGACTCTTTGCCAGCTGCAGATAGTTTAAATCTGAGGACTCTGGAGAGGGAATAAATGCCAGAGCCCAGAGAGTGTTGAACCCACTCAAAGAAAGAAAAAGGCTGCTGGTGCTTCCCTCTGCTGCTCCTGCTTGCTGTAGATGCAGTGTGACAAGAAGAAATAAGAGATATCCTGAAAAGAAGATTGGACTTCCGCCAAGGGACCCAACAACCCTCACCAGCAGAAAGGAGCCAAAGAGAGCTACACTCCCTCTCCCAACTAACCTTCTTTTTCTCTCCTAACTGCTGTTGTGATGTTGGAAAGGATTGGGGTGGAGTAGGGAGAAAGAGGCATTAAGAAATGGAAATAAAATAGAGTTTAAAAGTAGCGGTAACACACATGCCTCCATTATGTTGGTGGAGCACATCCTCCTGGGGACCAAGGAATATACCTTCTTCTCAGCACCACGTGGAAACTTCTCAAAATTGACCACATACTCAGTCACAAAGCAAGCCTCAACAGATACAAGAAGATTGAAATAGCCCCTTATATCTTATCGGACCACCATGGATTAAAGCTGGAGCTTAACAATAACAAACACAAAGTAATAGAAACTGAACAACTCTCTACTCTATGACCGCTGGGTCAGAGAATAAATAAAGAAATTAAACACTTTCTAGAATTCAGTAAAAATGAATGCACAACATAGCCAACTTTATGGGACACAATGAAAGCAGTGCAAAGTGAAAAGTTCATAGCACTAAATGCCTTCATAAAGAAATTGGAGAGATCTCATACTAGCAATTTAAAAGTACACTTGAAAGCTCCAGGACAAAAAGAAGCAAACACACCCAAGAGGAGTATACAGCAGGAAATAATCCATCTCGGGGCTTAAATCAATAAATTACAAAGATAATTTAAAGAGTCAATGTAACCAAGAGCTGGTTCTTTGAGAAAATCAACAAGATAGACAAATCCTTAGCCAAACTAACTAAAAGGCAGAGAAACAATATTCAAATTAACAAATCAGAAATGGAAAGGGGGACATTAAAAACAGACACTGAGGAAATCCAAAGAATCATTAGGTCTTACTTCAAAAGCCTGTACTCCACAAAACTGGAAAATCTAAATGAAATAGATGTTTGTTTTTTATAGATACCGTTTACCAAAGTTAAATCAAGATCAGGTAAACAATTTAAATAGTCCTATAGTCACTAAGGAAATAGAAGCAGTCTTTTAAAGTCTCCCCCGCCCCCATAAAAGTCCTGGGCCAGATGGTTTCTGTGCAGAATTCTAGATTTTCAAAAAAGAGCTTACACCTTAAACTATTCCACAAAACAGAAACAAAGGAACACTGCCAATCTCATTCTATGAGGCCAGAGTCACCCTGATTCTAAACCACACAAAGAATTTCAGACCAGTTTTCCCTATGAACATCGACACAAAAATACTCAATAAAATACCCACAAACTGAATCCAGGAACACATCAAAAATATCATCCATCATGATCAAGTAGGCTTCATCCCAGGGATGCAGGAACAATTAAACATATGAAAATCCATCAATGTAATCTACTATATAAACAAATTGAAAGAAAAAAAAACCACATGATTATCTCATTAGACACTGAAAAAGCTTTTGACAAAATCCAACACCCATCCATGTTTAAAGTCTTGGAGAGATGAGGGATACAAGGCACATACCTCAACACAATAAAGGCAATATACAGCAAGCCAATGGTCAACATCAAGTTAAACAGAGAGAAACTTAAAGCAATCCCACTGAAATCAGGAACAAGACAAGTCTTCCATTCCTGTTGGAAATTTAACTGGCTTAATTCCCTGCAGGTCTTATGAAGGTAAATTAAGCTACTGGAGACACTTATTTCTGTAGATATTATTACAACTTTAAAATCAAACTAATTCCTCTATCAGGTATTTGTTTCAGTTTTATTCTAAGTTTGTGTCTGCTCTGTTATACGGTAAAACCCTCTCATGAATAGAATTCATTATTGTAACACCTTTAACACAATTAAACTTTAGAATGAAACATTATTAGAACAAAAGCCTTTATTACCTACTGAAAAAATCTAGCAATAAAGAAAAGCTTACTCTTAGGAAGAGCCATCACTTCCCTTACCTGCCCCCAGAACCTACCTCCCTACTAGTTTCCTACTAGCACAGACCTGTAACATATCAAAATCCCACACTAACTTCCAGACTCCTTCAGTCCTGTCCTGGTTAGTTTAATCATCAGAAAGGAGGGAGCTTTTGTTGAGAAAACGCCTGCATAAGATGGGCTGTAGATGAGCCTGTGGGTCATATTCTTGATTAATCATTGATGTGGGAGGGCTTAGACCACAGTGAGTGAGGGCATCCATGGGTTGGTGGTTCTGGAGTCTATAAGAAAGCAGGCTGAGCAAGCCAAAAAGCAGCTCTGACCTCTGCTTCGGCTTCTGCCTCTAGGTTCTGCCTGAGTTCCTGTCCTGACTTCTTTCAGTGATGGACTATGATGTGGAAGTTTAAGCTAAATAAACCCCTTCCTCTCTAATGTGCTTCTGGTCATGGTGCTTCATAATAGCAACAGTAACTCCAACTAAGACAAGTCCCTATTAACACATACCTCTGATGCCAATTTAATACACATCCAGCCCTAGAAAATGCTTTTGAAATAAGTTCTAAATAAATATACACCTAAACTTAAATTGAAAATTGTTGTCAATTTTAAATATTTCATCTGCTTTTCTTATAATCATCCAGACCTCTCAGGCCTCCCACTCACCCCCACCTACATACAAGTGCATGCTATCAAGGTCCAGCTCTTCCATCTTACTTGTTTGGAGCCTCTTCACAGTGCTCACACTGTCCTCACCTTTTCTTCACCACAGTAAACAGTATCCCACATATCCCTGGAATCCACCCACTCACCAGAAAGCCAGAGGTGCTGTCCAGCAGACAGCGAACACGACAAATGAAGCAGCGTGTCAAGAAGGCCGAGTACTCGGAAGGCAATCCCTTGCCCCCTTCCTGAGCCCTAAGCAGCTTCCCCAGGATGGTATTGTCTGCCAAGATAATGAAAATTAATATATGCCAATTAAAATAATGCAAATCAAAATGTGACGATTAGTCTGGGAAACAACAGACCACAGATATATGAGAGAACATGTAACTGGCTGTAACAACCATGCCACTCTGGCTAGAATGCACATCTCACCATGGGTCTCCAAGCCTTTGCCATCCCCATGTCTCCAAGAGACAACACTTTGGTGGATTTCACTTTCATTAGCCCTACCCTTCATGACTTTGATGACATTGACTGCTGCATGTGTGACTAAGAGTCAGTTGTTTAGTATTGTTTGAGCTGTAGAAATAATATGATATGTAGGCACCTTGGATCTAAGACAAATTATGCTGTTGGATATTGAAGCTTTGGGGAAGTTTTTCTTAGACTTAAAGTTTCTGTTGGAAATCATCATCTGAATGAGCTCTTGCATAAAGTCCAGGACCCGCCTGCATCTGTCTACGTATGGAAACATTCTATGCACAGCCATCAATTGGGTAACAATAGGGCACAATGTATTAATTGGGGAGTAATAGTGAGCAATGGATAACTATTTCCAATGGAATGTTTTGTTTTTGTTTTTGTTTTTCAGTTAAATGTAAATTGGTCCAAAGAGGCTGCCTGGTAGATAAGAGGCTTCAGGGGGTTATTGAAACAAGTTAAAATTTCTTGGGATCTCTGGCAGTGTTGAAAATATCAAATATGGCAGAGCCTGAATCTGGATTGAGTATACTACAAAGTCCCACAGCCCCCAGCCTATGGTGGTGGAACTATAAGAGGTAATGGGAGGTGTTACTGCTCTAGGCACATGTCCCTGAGAGTTATTACGGGTCCCTGTTACAATTTAAAGTGATGTGTTCAGCTGTTAACATGACAATGAGTAGAGTTGTGATTATTAATCTTGATTGTCAACTTGATGGCTCTACAGTAGTCCAGGAAACAAACCTCTGGACAGGTCCAGGAGGGAGTTTCTAGACTGTGTTAATTGGGGTGGGAAGGGCACCAGAGGTGTGGACGCCAGTGAAGTGAGCCCACCTGTGTCAGCATGTGGGGACTGCCCGAACACCACCTGTGGAGGGTCCATGGCCCAGTGGAGCTGTCTGCAGAAGTCCTGTCGGTCATCCACATGGATGTAGTCATAAATGTTTTGGTGCATTACATCTGTCTGAAACACAGAAGCAGTGGCTTTAGCTTCATGCTGAATTTACATGTTCTGGTGATCACGAACCATAGGATCCCCACATCAACTATTCAAATTCGAGTCACAGGTGTAAAGAAAAAGCTTTGAGAAAAAGACACACCTTTCCTCTTGAAGCATCAACAGCATTCATCCTTCAAATGTGGTGTTTTTATTGTTCTTTTTACCACATGGAAGATAATGTTTTTTCCCTGTGTGGTTTTAACAGGAGGAACTGATGACTCAGGCACAGGGGGCACCCATGGTTCTTAGAGTGAGGATGCAAGCAGGTGCTGCAGCTTACACATTCTTTTCACCTGTTTTGTTTGTTTTGTTTTTTGACTCTGAGCTTTGTAGAACCAGCCAAGAGCATGGCTTCCAGTGTCCACTGGCCTCTCAAGAGTCTCACTTATCATTAGTCAGTGAAGGGGTGTACCCAGGTTAATGTGAGCTATGGGCCTGCAGTTAACAAAGGACAGACAAGACAGTGGAAGATACAGCAAAGCCAAAAGGAAGGGCAAAGCAAAACTATATATTTCTGTGACAATTAGAAGAAAACATGAAATACTTTTAGATTGAAGAAACAAATAGATGTTTTAATAGCTAGTACCATGATATGATAGCCCCTAAAGCATAGCCACAAACACAAACCAAGAGAAGTTACTGGGTGGGTGAGGGCATCTCTGTAATGAGCTGGAGAGCTAAATCAGAGTAGGCCCCTGGGAGGATATGAAGGGGACTCTAGCTGAGACTCCTAGTAGCAGAGGCCATGGAGACCAAGGAGGACACCCTCTACTAGACAAGACTCTTAGTGAAGGGAGGAGAACACCAACCCACCCACAAAAAAAAAAAAAAAAAAAAAAAAAAAAAAAAAAAAAAAAAAAAAAAACAAAACAACAAAAAAAAAAAAAAAAAAAAAAAAAAAAAAAAAAAAAAAAAAAAAAAACTCAATCTAAAACTTACCCTGCCTACAATACCTGCAGGGACAAAGATAGAGCAGAGATTGAGGGAATGTCCAACCAATGCCTGGCCCAACCCAAGACCCACCCCATGGAAGAGAGCCAGGCCCTGATACTATAACTCTGCTATGCTTTAAGACAGGAGCCTCTCAGAGTTGTCCTCTTAGAGGCCCCACCCAGCAACAGTTGGAAGCAGATGCTGAGACTCACAGCCAAATATTGGGCGAAGCAGGGGAGTCTAGTGGAAAAGTGGAGAGAAGGATAAAAGGACTTAGAGGTTACAGGAGCTCCACAAGAAGACCAACAGAACCAACTAACCAGGGCCCAGTGGGGCCTGTGGCCAACTCTGACATGGACTCTGTTGCCTGCTTTTTGATCACTTCCCTCTGAAAGGACTGCTTTACCAGGCCATAGGGGAAAAGGATGAACTCAGTCCTCATGTGACTTAATGAGCTGGGGTGGGTGGGTAGGGGGGTCCCCTTTTCTGGAATAGGGGAGGAGGGAGGTAGGAAAATAGGAGGAAGGGGGCTATGACTGGAATGTAAAGTGAATTAATTAATTAATTAATTCAAAAGAGATATATTGGGAAGAAATATAAGAAGAGGTGAAGATGACATAAAAACTGGAAACTGCCGCCACCAAGAGAAGCCGTCTTACTTCAGTTTCAATTCACCATCCTTACAGTAGGACACGATCTATATCTGACAACTGTTATTTTTGCTTTCTTGGGTAAAACACATATGCATCTATTAACTGGCTAAGGATAGTTGTCCTTGCTCAGAACATTGTTCACTTGGAGGCAGCTGTCACAGATTACTGTGAGGGAATGATACTATTGACCATCTCTCATGAGCAAGGACAGGTAAGTGTCATATCAAGATAAGTCCAGATAGACAAGTAGTTCTGAGGGACTATGACTTTCAGCTCAGGTGACAAAAAGCTGTGAGGTGGGTATAAGAAATTGCCAGATTATTTCAATTCTGAGAAACTATTAAAATTATTTTTTCTTAAAAATTAGGTAAAGTGATAATTCTATCAGATGAACTTTAATTCTGACAACATGTCAGGAACCTGCTCTCAGATTGTGGCTTCTGCTGTCTTTGGCTGTGTTCAGCGCTGGTTTTTAATTATTCTGTGATTTGGCTTGCTGTTCCACATTGCCATTCATTCACAACCCCAGCTCCTGGAGCACCTACTCTGCTTGAGGAAGCTGAAGATACTCCTGTGTCCTCCTGCAGGTGCCGTGAGCCTGAAGTGCCTCAGCGCCAGGTCAATGCCCCAGAGAACACCTTTTCTTGCTGGCCAGCCTGGTCTGACCCCTTTGTGAAGCTCCTCACCTCCCATGCTTCATTGATTCAGGACATCCTAATTCCCGGCCTTAGAATTCCCAAGATGGGCCCCTTGAGTGCCTGCTGCCTCTCTGCTGCAGTCAGTGCCCTTTCAGAACTCTCCTCCTGTTGCTGCTAACTTCCAGGCACTGTTTCCTTTTGAATTTCAATATTTTCTTATGCTAGATGATATAAACTCTTTGTATTAAACATTGAGATGGCAGCACAGCTTTTGTTTGCAGGAGGCAAAGTGGTTCAGCAAAGTCTCAGGATGCTACAGGACAAGGGACCAGTACTGACTAATATGCTATCTTCTTCACTTTAAAAGTTCTGCTTGCTCTTTATTTATTTTTTTCCAGTTACAGGCTATGACCTCTTTATATTGCCTTTTAACGCTTCCACTATTTCAATCTTATCACCTGTATAAATTTATTGTGTGTGGGGACAGGAAGGGTTCACTTGGAGGTCAGAGATAACTGGTAGATGCAGTTCTCTCCTTCTGCTGTGTACACCCCAAGAATAGAACTCATATTGGCAGGCTTGACAGAAAGGGTCTTTACCTGCTGAGTAGTCTCTTCAGCTTCTTCCTCCCCCCCCCCTTTTTTTTTGAGACAGAGACTCATTATGTTGTGCTGGCTGACCTGCAGCTCCTTATGTAGACCAGGCTGACTTCAAACTCAAAGAAATCTGCCTGCCTCCGCCTCCTGAATAATGAAATTAAAAACTTGCACCAGTTCACACAGTCCCCTGCTATTTTAAATGTGCTTCCTAGCTTCTTTCAGGGGGTCTTTTTTTTTTCTTATATTCCTCTGGGAGGAACTACATTCATTTATTGTCTGCCGGCTCATGCTTGCCTTCATGCCTTGGCTTCCCATGTGCTTAGGATTTTGTTGTGAACTCATCTTCAGAGGCATGTTTCTGTGAAGTGGCCTGTTGAATTAAGCTGAAGTCCGTCCTCCACTACCACCCTGCCACCACCAATTTTGCTTCATTGGTGATCCCATGTGTTCACTTGTCTGCTTTGTGTTAGTTTCCAGATTGTGTAGTAGTTGTTATGAATGTGCTATATAGGAAAAGTAAACAAACATGTTTGTGTCTTTTCACATGTCAGAAGTGATTGAATAATGCATTTATGAGCTACATCAATCTTGTTGGCTGCTATTTTTCAAGTTGTTCCAATTTCTCCTGATATTGGCAAATGGAAAACACAGGCTCTTTTATTTTGATCATATTAATTACTAACACTAACTCTCAGGTAAACATTATGCATCATTACTCAGTACATGTATCTATCATTTGTCTGTCTATTTGTCTACCTGTCACCGATTACTAACTCTTAGAAACATCATACATCACACAGTAAACCTGTTTATCACCTATTTATTATCTGTCTATCATTTAGATAGACAGCCACCGCTATCTGTCTGATAGATGAAAGATAATATCCATCTATTTATCATCTATCTATCTAATCTATCTATCAGCTACCTAATCTATCTGTATGTAGGCTACATAATGGATACAAAAGTGTTAAAGAAGCCACAAAAAAAGTTCAGGGAGTTTTTTTTAAAGACCCCTGAAAGCAGAGGCTAAAAGATAATCCTGATAGAAAGAAACTTTCTGCAGTGTACAAATAAAATATTTATAACCTAATTGGAGAACTGTTTATAGCAGGCAAGGTGACAGGGTTGAACTGGGCTTGAAAGTTGAGTTGAATTGCATAGGCAAGGCATAGAACCCTGGAAGACCTAGAGCTGAAGTGCATGACCAGGTCCTGTGGACAGATGAATGGATGGACAAATGAAAAGATGGATGGCCCATGCCCATAGTTGATTTGAATCAGCAGTGAGGGCCAAGCTGAGGTGAAGCCCTGAGGATAGATGCAGGTTCTTTGTTAGTCTCTAGATAAACACTCCAGATAGTCAGATGACAGGTGAATGGGGCCATCGCCTTTACATTGGGTATCCTTTTTATAGAGACCAGATGGACCAGTTACTTTTCTGTTGCCATGATAAAAACACCATGACCAATGATTTCATGACTTATGAAAGAAATCATTTATTTTGGCTTACAGTTTCAGAGGGATAAGAACAATCCTAACCCTAACCCTAAGAGTTTCTCATGACAAGGGGGCATGGCAGCAAGCAGTATGCATAGCAACAGGAGCAAGAAGCTGATGGATAACAGCCTCAACAAGAAGCATGGAGCAGAGAGTCAAACTGGAAGTGAGACGAGGCTTAAACTCTAAAAGCTTCCCCCAGTCACAAGGCTACGCCTCCCATAATCTTCCCTAACAGCGCTCGAAGTAGGTGCCAGATGTTCAAATATATGATTCTGTAGGTTATATTGCTCATTTAAACCACTACATCAGGTGAAGCTGTTGTGCCCTTTTTCAGTCTGGTGAGTTCAATGAGTTCTTGGGTTTAGGTATTCTGATAACGGCTTTTATATACCCGTGTGCTCATATGCTCCTAGTGTATTGTGATGTTTATAGACAGCATATTTTTGAGAGCAAATATTCTTTTTTATTATTATTTTTATATTAATCACAGGTTATCTACTTTGTATCCCAGCCATAGCCCCTACCCTCATTCCCTCCCAGTCCCACCCTCCCTCTCTCATCTCCTCCCTGCCCCTTTCCAAGTACACTGATAGGGGAGAACCTAGCTTATCAGGTCTCTTCAGGACTGGCTGCAATGTCCTTTTCTGTGGCCTAGCAAGGCTGCTCCTCCCTCGGGGGAGGGGGTCGAAGAGCTTGCCGTTGAGTTCATTAGACGGCACATTTTAAAGTTTACTGGTAAGTCATTATCAGTTCACATCTTATGCAGGGATGGCTAAGTGGTGGTGTCTACATGCACAGACATCTCGCCTTTGCATTTGCACCCAAAATAGAGTCAAATGCTGCTTGTAAAATGGAGTCACTCATGGAAAGGCATAGCCTGAAAGGTACTATTTTCATACAACAAAAAGTCATTTAGAGCAGGGCACAGCCTGGTCTCCACAGTGGTGCAGATCTGAATTCTCACTTGACCTGGATTCCTACTGAGGCTTCATCCTTCCTGAGGTCAAAAAGGAAAATCTCCTTCATTGTTTTCTGTGCTTTGAGTAGAGGGTCTGCTTGCACCTGTTTGTTGATGAGTCAGCTTCCAGAGTCTTATACTTAAGGTATCTGGGTCCCAGCCTTTTGCCCTATGAGCCAGAATCATAAAACCAGTGTTGACCAAGCAATTGTTCCAGTGAAGAATTTGCAAAATTGAAAAGGGTATTTCTGGGAGAAATTATGTCTGGAACATGCTAAATATATGGAGTTTAAGACATGGAGTTATCAAATGAGATTATGCTCTGAATATGAGAAGCTGAGAGCAGAGTTTCATCCCATTCAGGGTCACCTAGCACCACAATGCTGCGCTGAAGCTGACATGATGCCCTAGGCAAAGTTGGGACATATGGTATAAGTAAGCTTTATCTTAGACAGTCTTAAGCTTTGAAGACAATACGCATTTACAAAGGTACCCCACATTTAATACACCAAAAGGCTATTTTTGCTACATTTACCTGATGGAAGCCCAGATAGTCCACAATTGTTGCTGATGCATAAAAGATCATCCCTTCTGCACTCACCACCAGGGCAAAGCCATTGAGAGACTACGAGAGAAAACAACACATCAAATCAAGTTGACTCCCCCAAAATGAAAAGAACAACAGGTGGTTAGTTCTGTGTACATTTCCCGACATTTTTCCTGTTTTGTATGACCTCTAGAAATGCCTACATTAACTTTCTTTCACCTTTTTTCTAACAGGTCCCTGTTAATAGGAGGCAGGGGAAGTTGGTCATGGTTTGTGGGGCTGAAGACTTGGTTCTCTCCCTAGTGGATACAGTATGCCCATTTAATGAAATATAAGCAGCATCAGACTGACATAATGAGACATCATCACAAGAGGAAGCAAAATGAGGACCTTTCACTTAATTTTCAGCCTTCTGTATACTATTCTGGATTTTTTTTCAGCTTCTTAAAGAATTTGTGTATGTATTGTGTCCTAATTTTGGTATCTAGTGAAAAAAACAATCAAATCTGGTCTCTTCCTCATCATCTTCACCTACCTATTTAGGACAAGACTAACGCATTTCTTGAAATTCTGGTTTACCTTAGAAATCATCCAACTTGGACACATTTCAGAATATAACAGGCACAAATGTGTATCAATTCAATGGTTTTTATTGTAGTCAAGTTTAAAATTTTTTTCTTACAAGTTTATGGATGCATAATTCTATTTTACCTTGTTTATAATCATTGAATCTCAGTTATATCTAGAATTATGGGTTCTTTGAAGTATTGGGCTATGTTGTGATGTTGTGTTTGAGTTAGGCTCTTTTGTTTAAAAAGCAAATCTTCTATGTTCTGCCATAGCAGTTCTTAGAACCATCACCAACAAAGGTACCCAGCATACCCAGAGTCACTTATTCTCACAGTGAGAATTCTGTGTGTCTGTCATCTAGCATCTATTCACACACCCATCAATCATCTATCTACCTGCTTATTATCTATTCAATACATCATCTTTTATCTGTTACCTAGCTGTCTATTATATACCTGTCAATCATTATTAGTATATATCTGTTTATTTCTGTCAAAAGGTAACTCTCTGAAAAAGTAGTAGGAAGGAGGTTCTTCTGAGCTTCAAGCATGATGAGTAGAATATCGTACTCAGTCTCACCTCACCCTGTGAGACCAAAAGAGTCCACTCTCACCTGAGCAGTGAAGAGTCTGGAGACCGGGTTCAGTCACCTAGACAGTGTTAGTCAGAAATGTTTTACTGTGTATCTTTGAAACACAGGTAGGTAATCGGAGATCATCTCATTGTAACACTTATTTCCTTTAATTCTTAATATTATAGGTAATCCCCATTTTTTCAAATCAATTTGTTAGGCGATAAATTATTTTGCCTTTATAGTTTTCATTTCTTTGATTATTAAGAAGATTAAAAATATTCCATGTGTTTATTGATAACTAGGATTTCCTCCTTGGCAAATGACCAATGCCTGTCATGTACCAGTTTCTCTATGAGTGTCTATACATGTTAATAGATGTGGTGAAGCTGGGCACAGTGGCGCACACCTGTAATCCCAGCACTCGGGGAGGCAGAGGCAGGCGGATCTCTGTGAGTTTGAGGCCAGCCTGGTTGAGTGAGGGACAGCCAAGGCTACACAGAGGAACCCTGTCTCGAAAAGAAACAAAAAATGTAGTGAGCCTCACAGCATATAATTGCCGAACCATCAGCAACAAATCCCAGGAATCTGAAGTGTTTGTTACAAAAGAAGGAAGGGATGATCACACTTTAAGAAACTGAAGAGAAGCTGTATTTCGTAAAAGCAGAAGGAAGAACAAATAAAAAGGAGTGAAATCAATGAAAATGGCTTATGTCAAATAACTAAGGCCACCCACCTCATCAAAATTTCGGGCTTTTTGTTTGTTTGTTTGTTTGTTTCCACAATTTGTATGTAGAGTGAAAATCCCCAACAGGGGTCTTCAAGAAAAATGCACATTTCTGACATCAGGAATTTACAGACCCTACAATTTTAAAGATGTTTTAGGGAGATATTAAATGTAACACTTAGAAAATTAAAAATTTAAATAAAACAGGTGATTTTTGAAATATAATTTGTCAAAAGTAATAAAAAGAACTAAAAAAAAAAATCTAACTACCACAGTATCCATTTTTTGTTTGTCTGATTTTGGATGCTAGGCATGGAACCCATGACCTTACACATGCCAGGCAAGTTTTCACTACTTCATTTCATTTCCACATTTGTTAATACCGATTAAGCAAATTAACTTGCTAATAAAAGCTTTCCCACAAAAATATTTATAGCACACTGATAAAGAACTCTCCCAGAATATATAAATAAATACCTTTTCCAAACCAACAATAAAAAGATGAAAAACTAAATTAAAAAATATGAGCCCAAACCCAGTTGTTTTAAATGAAAAAACATTTAAGCTGATGTTTCACAAAAGAGAAATAGTAAGGTCCACAGTACACAATACAATATGTTCAGGATTACTATTTGCTGGAGAAATACAAGCCAGAATCACATGGATATATCTTTTTACAGTGTGAGGACAGCCTCAAAGAGATAAGAACAAAAACACAGGGGCTTGTAGGAGATGATTTGGTATGAATGGAACCACCCAGGCATTGCAGAAAATAATGTCAGTTCCCGTGGAACTGACTCTTAGTACTTTTTGCACTTAATCACTTTCTGTTTCATTACAGTGACCATTTAAAACGGTGTAACAAACACATACTGCGTGGACTAGACTATAACCATAATCTCGCTGTTTTAAAACATCTGTTTACATCCTTTAGGAAAGGGAAGTTTTCTTGTAATGGCAGAATAGTCCAGACATGATTGTAGGCTTTTTGATCATACCCCAAAAGTACAGGCCAAAAGAAAATTTTAAAAAGGTGGAATTCTATCAAACCAAGAAACTTCTGCACAGCAAAATAATTAACAGAGGCAGAAGACACAATGGGAAAGTCTTTGCAGACTACACTTGACAAAAGATTAATATCTATAGTATACGTAGAACTCATAAAACTCAATAGTGGAAAGAAAAATAATCTGATTTAAACATGTACAAAGGACCTAAGAGACATTTGCTGAAAGAAGATATACCAATGGCCAACAGGTATACAAAAATTACTCAGCATCACAGATCATTCGGGAAACACAAATCAAACCACACTGTGGTGTCGTTTTATCTTATCTAGAATCATAATGATTAAAAAGAATAAATGTTCCAGGCATGGTAGCCTATGCCTTTAATCACATCACACAGGAGGCAGAGATAAGTAGAGCTCAAGGTAAGTCTGACCTGTAGAGTGAGTTCCAGACCACATAGTGAAACTGTCTCAAAAAGACTAAAGATAACAAGTACTGGCAAGGTGCCCCACCATTAAAGTCCTCTGCCACCAAGCCTGATAACCTGGGAATATTTGCTTTAGGAATATAATGTTGTCTCAATATTGGTAAGTACATTAATATACAACTTTACAGTTTATAGCTCTAAGGAAAAGATCTGGGTATTCCTAGAGTGAGGTAGTAAGAAATTCAACACTGATTCCTAATTTTAAAAGTAATTTCTTAACGTGGTGGAGGCAGTTAGGGCAGTGATAATTTGTATATTACTCATAAGGCAGCAACTCACTTAAAGGGAAAAAATTTCAAGGCATCTCTAGTAAGATCAAGAAACAAAGCAAAAAAGACTGCTACCACCCCTACCAGAGTAGAGAGACTATGTTTCAAGTGTGGTCTGCCACTTGGTTTCACACATAAAGTTTCAATGACACCATGAAACTTACTCTGTCTACAGCCTTCTTTGCACTGTAACAGTGGAGAGCTTGGTAATCAACCCACAAGTTGGGGGCAAAGAGAGAGACAGAGACAGAGACAGAGACAGAGAGAGAAAGAGAGGGAGAGGGAGAGAAGACATGTGAAGGCCAGAGAAGAATGTTGGGTGTGAGACTTGAAACTGAAGCTCACCATTTTGCCTAGGCTGATCAGACAGCAAGCTCCCAGGATCTGACTATCTCCACATCCTCAATATTGGGGTTAGAGGCACAGATGGCCGTGAATGGCTTTTACATGGGTAATAAAGATTTGAACTCAGGCTCTTTTGCTCTCATAGTAAGCATTCTTACCCACTGAAGCCTCTCTTAAAACCCTCATTTAACCACTTTTTGTGTAACCTAAGTCAGCAGCAATTATAAAAAACACTATAACACAATACAATCCATAATACATAATTTGGTAGAACAGGAAAATATGAAAAGATTTTGTTTTCTGTAAATAAGCATCACATTTCTGTTAGAGCAGAAAACTCTGTGCGTATAATAAAAACACTGTGACTCATAACATATAATAGTCTTAAATAGGGCTGAAGTGTTTGAGGCAGTGTTTGTTGTGCAGCACAACACATTCACTGAGAAGTGTAAATGTGTGTTCAGAATCAAGGCTGCAATGGAGTTGTGAGATGCAGAAGAGGGTGCTGTCAGAAATGTCTCAAATTCATTACCTGTTTGGGTTTTGGTCATTGAGAAATTCTTTTATTCAGAAACTTACTGTAAAATTTTCAGGCTCCCACATTCAGTCCCATGATTCCAGTGTGGGGTGGCAACCCGCAGTAAGATTCTGGATATTTTCACTTGTGTGTATTTATTTTGTATGCACATCATGATGCTTATGAAAATTCTGAGGATAAGTTTCGGGAGTCCTTCCACCCTCGGTACTGGGTATTGTACTCAGGCCACAAGGCTTGGTGGTAAGTGCCTTTACCCACTGGGCTATCTCATTGGCCTCAGAAACTAGATATTTTTTTATAACGACAGTTTTCTGTGTGATCCTTTGTTTGTTTTGTGAAGGTGTTTTTTTGTGTTTGGTTGGTTGGTTGGTTGGTTTTGGTATTTGATTCTGGTAAATAACCCAGAGCTTTTTATGTGCTAGGTAAGCTACCAACCACTGAGCTGCAATGCCAGGCCCATACTTCTAACTTTCCAAAAATCTTTTAACGTTACAACAAAATATACAAAACTCACTATTCTAACTATTTTTTAAGAGAACAGCACAGCACAGTGACACTCAG